CCTTTAAACTTTTTAAAATTCTAAGATAGGAGACCAAAGATTCTTAGGACTATGGGTTTCTGCCCCATTTTGGTAGGGAGTGCTACCAGAATTATATTATATACTTCCATTACTAGTGATATTTCTTACTGCATAGTGACTCTGTTGGCCTATTTGAGAATTATTGCTGTAAAGGATCTGTGAATTCCCTGAAATTGTATGTAAAATTTCGTATGGAGAGAGTTGTGTCCATTATTTAAATATCAAAATACAGGTAAAAATCCATTGCCTTGAAATGATAGACATTTCTTAATGGGTACATTTCTTGCCAAACTTATTTATTAATTAAATTAATTGATTATTAATAATGGTGCTGTTTTACATTGTGCATGTATGTGGTATAAGTTGTATGGTGTTTTATACTCCTTAGACCCACTTAGTGCTTTGAGGTAGTGAGATGATACTACTTTTTTAAGATTTATTTATGCATACAAGACTGGGGCACAGGCCAAAGGTGCAGGGAATGAGAGGATTCACCAGAGTGGGAGCAGAACAAGCAGATGTACTGAAATACACTGCTGAGGGGAGCAGCCAGCAGGACAGGAGAGGTCTGCTGTACCATGTGGGTCACCTCCCTGGCTGGGGATTGAACTCGTGCTACAGTGTCTGCAATAGCTTCATAGTGCTGTGCTTTACACCAGGGAGGGCCTGGTACTCCATTTTATAGGAAAAACTGAAGGTCACAGAGATTGTGTAACTTTTAAGTTCAGATAGATAGTAAATAGAAGAAAAAAACTATATTCTAGGTCTTACTCCTAATCATTTTGCTTTTATAGTATATCAAATTGGTGCTTTGCAAGTTTAGAAGAACACTACTTCTAATGAGAAACCAAAGTGAGATAATCCTAAATATAAGGGAATTCCCCATTTTTTCTGATAACAATATTTAGAAGAAAAGTTTTTTGGCGATTAGGGTATTTATATTTTATTTTATGACAGGGTATTTAAACTTTTAGGAGTATAACATAAAAAAAATCAAATGTGGGGCCTCCTTGGTGGCCTAGGGTTTAAGTCTCAAGTGTTGTCCCTGCTAAAGCCTTAGTTCCATCCCCTCAGAAAGGAGAATAACCCACATATGGCACAGCAGACCTCTTCTGTCTTGCCACCTGCCCCCTGTGGCAGTGTATTTCAGTAAATCCGCCTGTTCTCCTTGCTCTGTCCTCTTGACTCTTGTATCTGGCCTATACCTCAGTTTTTCTATGCTAAATAAATAAATAAATACGTAAAAAAAAAAAATCAAACGTGGCGCTCCCTGGTGGCGCAGTGGGTTAAAGCACAGCACTATAAAGCTAGCTGTGGCTGCTTTAGCAAGAGTTTATTTAGCAAGAGATCCTTGGTGAAGGAGGTGACACACATGGCGCAGCAGACCTCTCCTGCCTTGCCTGCTGCTCCCCTCAGCATGTACTTCATTAATTTGGCTGTTCTGCTGCCTACTCTGTCTCTGGTGAATCTTCTCACTGCCCCTGCACCTCTAGCTTGTATCCCATTTCTGTATGAATGAATGAATGAAAAATCAAATGTGTTGTTATGATATTGTAATGATTAACTTTATGATATACATGTTTAGATTCTAAATTTGAATGAGATTTTAAATTGAGGAATAATTGCTTTATTAAAATGAATTTTTTAAAAGATTTATTTACTTATGCATACAAGAACTGGGGTACAGGCCAGAGTTGGGGGGGCAGTGAGAGGATACACCAGAGACAAAGCAGGGAGCAGCCAGTGAGACAGGAGAGGTCTGTTGTGTATGTGGGTCACCTCCTTGGCTGAGGGTGGAACTCATGTAGCAGTGGCTGCTGGCAGCTTCATAGTACTGCACTCTAGCCCCTTGCACCACCAGGAAGTGTCTTGTATTGGACATAGCTGGTGCTTTCACATCATACCAATCTTTCTTAAGACAGTGGATGAACCACTTTCTTCTTGGCTCCCTTTTTATAGGGACCTTTCATGGGCACTTGTTTTTGGCAACTACCAATGTGCTGCTCAAAGAGCCAAAAGGGTAGACCTTCTTTTCTTCAGTTCTTTCGTGAAGTAATATTGGTCAGTAATATATAGTAAAATTTAGTCTCTCAAAGTACAATTCAGTGTTTTGTACATTTGCTATGTATTCACAGAACTTGGCAATCATTACTACTACCTAAGCTTAGAACATTTTCATAACCCTAAAAAGAAACTCTGTATTCATTAGCAGCTACTCATACCTTCCCTAAGTCAGCCCCAGATGACCACTAATCAGCTTTCTCTCTGTTTTACATAGTCTGGATATTTCATATAAATAGAAATGGAAATAGGATGTGACCTTTTATATTTAGTTTCTTACACTTAGTATTTCCAGTTCATACGTCTTGTAACATATCCCTTATTCCTTATGGCAGAATAATGTTCGATTATATGAGTATACCATATTTTGTTTACTTACTCATCAGTTGATGTACATTTGGCTTTTCATCTTTTTAGCTATTATGGATAAAATTGCTATGAACACTTGTGAAAGTTTTTATATGACACATATCCCTCTCTTGAAGGTTAATTTTGGGCAAAAATCTTACCTTATTTGGATATAATGCACATAAATCTTTAGTAAACCAGTACACTAACTCATGTACTTGTCATTGATAAGCTGAAGCAGCAGCTACATTTTTGTCTTTTTTTTTTTGCCATTTTTGTCTCTTTTTTTGCCAGAAATACATAAATAATACAGAATAATTCAATCTAGATTTTTCAGTGATGTGGAAAGTGATAGTCATTCAGTATGCATTAGATCTTTCTGTTTTTCACTTTCAGTACAATTTCCAATAAATTATAGATAATATCCAACACTTTATGATATCATAGACTCTGTTAAGATTATTTTAGCTACTGTAAGTATTCTACACACATTTATGGTAGAGTAGGCTAAGCTTGTTATGTTTCATAGGTTTGAGTTATTAAATGCTTAAGAGATTTTCAGTTTATCAGGATCTATCCTATCAAAAGTGAAAGAAGATCTATATGTAGATAGCTGAAAAAAAAAGTGAAATCAAATTTCTTAAATATGTTTGATTTTTATTATTTATTTGTTTTATTTGTTTATTTGTTATATAAATATATATATTTATTTTTATTTATTTGTTATATAAACAAGTATTCTTGCCTGATGATAGATTTAGGTCAGTTTTTTATCAGTTATTTAAGATACTATTTGTATATCAATAATTTCCTTATTTGACCAAACCTTTAACATACATTTTATTTAGATTTAAAGACATGGAATCACTGTAATGTATACTCTGAATACCTTATAATTTTTTATGTTAGTCATACCTGAAATTTAAAAGCTCTACAGACAACAATGAAAAATAAATAATGCTAAAGATAGGAGAAAGCTAAAGCCATGAGAGTATATAGGAGAAAGCTAAGACATGAGTGTACTGTGGGTCCATAAATGCTCACTCCCACCATAGTATCTTAGTATATTGTTGTCTCATGCCTGGGTGATGCCAAAAATTTCCAAAGTAGTTAGTGCTGGTGAAAGATAAATGTCTTAAGTACAAAACTGTTTATTAAAAAAAAATAAACACGACTTTTTGAACTTTTAAGGGAGCTCATTTTATGCCTCTGACATTTTCTGCTTTTTTTATTTTTATTTTTATTTATGCATAAAGAACTGGGGTATAGAGGGGTAGGAGGATTCACCAGAGATAGAGTAGGGAGCAGTACAGGCAGATCTACTGAAATACACTGCTGAGGGCAGCAGTGGGTTAGGCAGGAGAGGTGACTTGATAGACTTAGAAACAGAGAGCTTTATTGATTTCTTAAATCTGCCTCTACTTAACTTATTTGGGAAATAAGGCAGTTGACAGTATTTCTTGAGGTATTTCACATGATAAAATCTGCCCCGTCACTTGAAATTTAAAAAAAAAAATTGTTTAGTAGAAATTATTTGTGCAAGGTATAGATCGAGCACTTTTCCAACATAAATTACCTGGCTGCTTGGAAAGTAAGCATGATGATATCTTCCAAATTCCCTTGTTACCTATTCTTGATATAAAAGTTCCTTATGTTTTCCTGTAATTATTATAAAATTTTATTGATGTGTTTAAGCACTAAGAAAATTTTATTCAAATAGACTGTTTTTTTCTTCACATTGCTCACCTATAGAGGACAGTCTAAAACTGAGAAATTTAACCAAGAATTGCAGACTTTGTAGTTGAGCGCTGAAGCTTTAAAAATGTGTAAATAGTCTTTTTGTTACTTGTGAGCCCTTGGGTTCCTGCCCTGAAGAGGGTGTTAACACTGTACTTAATTTTCTTACACTCTGCTAATAGAGTGTAAGAAGAGGTCTCCTCTTCTTACTTTGGTGTTTTGTTTAGTGAAATGCCAGACTCTAATAGAAGAGCGATTGTCTTTATCATTGTCCAGTGTCAAAATCTGTGTGAAGCAGTTGGTCATTTTATTTTTAATTTTACAGATTGTTTACATGTCTGGAGGTGGGATAGTGTAGATGGGAAGGTTAATCAAAAAGTAGGAAATAAACCTAGACTCACTTGACTGGTTCCATTTTGCTATATAAAAATAAAAGGAAATTCCAAGGACTTCTTATAAATCTTTGACTTGCTTTATCTGTGAAAAACTCTATTTTTAGAAAAAAAATTAAACAATTCTTTATGGGGCTATAAAAGCAAGAGAGCAGCCCAGATCTGAGCACAGGAACCTCATTAACAACGCATGTGTAAACCTGGAAATTTTTTTTTCTTCAATAAGGTTTTCTTTAGGTATGTTACAAAAAAGTAGAAATAGTGGCCTCATTTTCTTCTTTGTTTTATTGTATGACTTACATACTGTAATAAAAAGCAGTGAACTTGATTTGGAGAGTCATGTCACTAAATAACTGCATATGTCGTACCTTAGATGATCTGAGGATTTTGAGAAAACGTGAAGAAATAATTAATTAGCACTTATTTATATGTTCCTGGCAGGTGCTGTTGGCAGCAGCAGTCTGCACGAAAGCAGGAAAGGCTATTGTTTCTCGACAGTTTGTGGAGATGACCCGCACTCGGATTGAAGGCTTATTAGCAGCTTTTCCAAAGCTCATGAACACTGGAAAACAACATACATTTGTTGAAACAGAGAGTGTAAGATACGTCTACCAGCCTATGGAGAAACTGTACATGGTATTGATTACTACCAAAAATAGCAATATCTTAGAAGATCTGGAGACCCTAAGGCTCTTCTCAAGAGTGGTAAGATACTCCTTCTATAATAGTGGGCTACTTAAAACATTTTTTTTTCTTTTAAAATTTTCTGTGTGAAACGATTTCCCCCAAAAGCAGCTATTATTTATCAGCTTGTATATTTCATGCCTCCCGCTCCTTCACCCCAGCAGCTTATTGCCCCTGTACATTCAGCATTTACTGGGCATTCTCTTAGGCTCTGAATACCCTAAAGAAGGAACTACACTTCTGTTTCCAAGTTCTTGAATAGTTACTGTATTCTGCCTTTGCAGTTCTGACATTTGTTTGGTCCTATTTTTAGTTATTCTTTAGATAAGCCTTACAGATACATACACACACAAACTTTATGCCAAAGCCTTCTTTAAAGTACAGATGGAGTTAAGAAAGGAACTCAAGTTTATTGAAATTTATACTTTAAAGGATAAGACTTGTTCCTCATCAGTGTCATTCACCTGATCAGAGCTACCCACAGCATAGCTACCCTAGATATGGCAGACCATTTCTGGAAGAAGTGGCCCAGGACTTCTAGCTAGCCCTAGCTGTCTACCTGCCCTTCATTATGCCAATGACTCCCCTTCCCCTCCTAGAAGGTCCCAGGCCCATGTCTTCCTTACGTGCTGTCCAGCCTGTCAGGAAGGGAATCAGCCTCTTCGGTGACGTCATGTGCTCCATAATTCTTGGGACTGGTCCTACCTTGTCCCTGTGATACCCAGGGACCTGGACTTAAAATCAAGAAAGATGCCCTGAAGACCCTGCCCATGTGAACAGTGCTCTTGAAGTGCTGTGAGGCCTGTCTGGGCATTGCCACAGCCCCGGCTCAGTCCGAGATTCTGGCTTGGCTAACTGACTTTAGGGACACTTCAGTGAAGGAAAGGAAATGGGCACCAGGATTTTCAGAAGGCAGGGAGTTGGATCTTTGCCCCTGGCCAGAGAACATCTGCCACTGGTACCTAACAAAGGAGAGAAGGGGTCCTCTAGATGCTTCCTCATTGCTATCTCTTGCCATGTTTCTGCTGGCTCTAAAAACCTCGACAGTAAGGGAGGAGCTTAATTCTCTTGGCCACAGTGTCCTTTGCAGTGCTCTTAGACCAGAGCCTGGACGGAAGGGAGTTGGGGAAATCCAACTGGATGTTTTTGCCCCAGTTTACTGACTAACTTTTTCCTATCGTTAGATAGTTACCTCATAGAGAGGCTCTCTGCCTCTAAGTCATACTCACATGCTTTGCTTTATAAATGACAGTCACTGGCTGTGTGCATTTATTTGTGTACCTAGTGTTTTCTGTTCCTGTTAGACTATAAACACCACCTCCATTAGGCACATACATTACTTGTTCCTTCTTATCCCTACCTTAACCTGGTAGTATAATAGTTGCTTAATAAATACTTGTGAATACATCTTGGTTTCTCAGAACATATTCATTAGACTTGTGGGATATTTCTTAAAAATTCAGCTTCTTGGCATCTGTGTCATACCTTTAGTCTCTAGGGTTCAACTCAGAAATTTTAGGTTATTCACTTCCCTTACCTCAAAGAGTAAGACTTAGAAAATATAAGTACTGATAAATTCTAAATCTTTTTCATTGCTATTCATGATTAGATCCCTGAATATTGCCGAGCCTTAGAGGAGAATGAAATATCTGAGCACTGTTTTGACTTGATTTTTGCTTTTGATGAAATCGTCGCCTTGGGATACCGGGAGAATGTTAACCTGGCACAGATCAGAACCTTTACAGAAATGGATTCTCATGAAGAGAAGGTTTTCAGAGCTGTCAGAGAGGTAAATAAGTTTTTCCCTGGGAAATCTGTAGTTTGTATATCTTTTAAGACTGCTGTCTGTCTTTTTTTGTTGTTGCTAATATGTACTGTACTAAAAGCTACATTCACATGTGTCTCTTTTTGTAGACTCAAGAACGTGAAGCCAAGGCTGAGATGCGACGTAAAGCAAAGGAATTACAACAGGCCCGAAGAGATGCAGAGAGACTGGGCAAAAAAGCACCAGGATTTGGGGGATTTGGAAGCTCTGCTGTGTCTGGGGGTAGCTCAACTACTATGATTACAGAGACCATCATTGAAACTGATAAACCAAAAGTGGCACCTGCACCAGCCAGGTATAATCCATGGCTGTTTTTGTTTTTTTTAAAGGTTTACTTTTATTTATTTATGCATACAAGAACTGGGATGTAGGCCAGAGGTATGGCAGAGGGGAGCAGAATAGATGAAAAATACACAGCTGAGGGGAACAGTGGGTGAGACAAGAGATTAGCCATGTCATGTGGTTTAGCTCTCTGACCAAGGATCAAACTCATGCCACAGTGGCTGGTGATAACTTGATAGCACTGCGCTTTAAGCTCTGCACTATCAGGGAGACCCCTAGGTATAATCCATGTTACCGCCAGCAGCTTAGTGATGTCTGATTCTAGCAAGCAGTAAATAATGAGTGATTTGATGAAATAAAGCATAAAAATAAATTTGGGGATGTAGGAATGAGAAATGTCAGTGTGGTATTTTTCCTTTTGTGTAAAAGAGTTGTTTTACAAATTATACTATGACCTGTTTCCTACAAGAGGTGCCTTGTTTTAGGAGAGGAAATATTTACCTATTTATGAAAGGGCGTTTTAAAAAGTTTATGCTACATTGCTGGTGGGAATGCAAACTAGTACAACCACTATGGAAAACTGTTTGGAGGTTCCTCAAACTGCTAAACATGGAGCTTCCCTATGACCCAGCAATCCCACTCCTAGGTATCTACCCAAAAGACACAAAAACACTGATTGAAAAAGATACTTGTACCCCCATGTTTATTGCTGCTTTATTTACAATTGGAAAAACATGGAAGCAGCCCAAATGCCCAAAAGTAGATGACTGGATTAGAAAGATGTGGTACATATATACAATGGAATATTACTCAGCAACCAAAAAAGAGAAACACATGTCTTTTGCAGCAACTTGGATGGAGCTGGAAAAGATCATGCTTAGTGAGATAAGCCAGAAAGAGAAAGAAAAATACTGGATGGTTTCACTCATAGCAGGAGTATAATGGACCAGGCGAGAAAATAACAAAAATAATGAACAACCATAGACCAGAGACATTCTGTGGGGGTGGAGTGGGGAATAGGATCAAAAACGGGGGCGGGGGGGAAGGGAGGGAAATGCACAGGACTATGGTGGTGGCACAGGGGTGATTTGGTGATGGGAAACCCGTGGGGATTACAATTGAGATGAAAAAAAAATGTGCAAAATGATGTAAAAATAAACTTTTTAATAAAAAAAAAAGTTTATGCTACAGTGGTGATGGACAGCTTCATAGTGCTGCGGCTTAACCCATTGCGCCACAGAAAGGCCCCTGAAACACAGATTTTTAATCTTCATACTCATGATGGATTTCAGGGGGAATCTGAAAAACTTGAAATTATATGCAAAAGTTTAAGCACAGCTACGTTTATCTGGATGGAAGGTACAAAATTTTTATCAGATTACATATGCTTATAAAATTATCTCTTTGGTATTTGGATGCTTGAAGCTTACATGTGTAATGACTCAGCAGCTGTTTTGGGCAGGGAACAATTTAGTTGTCCACAAAGCACTAGATAGCGTGAATTATTTTCCCTGGAGGTCTTCATATTCCTCTGAAAGAACAGCTGCAGGGAAAGCTTCTATCATCTTGGGTTATTATTTTTGTAATCATGTGTTTATTTTTTCATATTTGTATTCTTCCCCTTAGGCCTTCAGGCCCCAGCAAGGCTTTGAAACTTGGAGCCAAAGGAAAGGAAGTAGATAATTTTGTGGACAAGTTGAAATCTGAAGGTGAAACTATCGTGTCCTCCAATATGGGCAAGCGTACCTCGGAAGCAAGCAAAGTACATGCTCCACCCATTAATATGGAAAGGTAAGTCATAAATTTTTCACTAAGAAAGACCATATGATATTTAAAATTTTTATTTCAGTGCACTGTAAGTTCTTTTTCTGTCTTAATTTTTCCTGATTTAAAAAAGACGTAGGGTGTACTTTAGAACTAACATGAGTTATATTCTTACTTCACCCATGAATGGAGACTCAGCTAATTTTATATGAAGTTTGAAACATTTATCAACTCTGCTGGCTAAATTAAAAATAACTTGTCTTCATGCCTTGTGTATACTTTGTCTCTATGACTTGAACTAGAGGGCTGGACCTATGATGAACCCCTTCAAAATGTATTGACGTGTCTTTCTTATTTAAATTTAAGGAGAATCAGTCTTTAATATAAGATTTATAAATGTCTTTTAACAGTAAATTAACATCTTTTAAGTATTTCACCCAATATAGATTTGGAAATGTCTTTTAGCTCATGACTAGGGTGTTGGTTGGTAACATTTTTCAGTGGTAGTTGTTAAGTTCACATATTCATAAATCAGATTTCTTGTTTTGAAGCCCAGACCTTCTTCTGTTGCTGATGGTTTTGAGGTCAGGTGAAAGATGAGTTTGAGAGGATACCTCTGTCAGGTGTGCATAAAAGAAGAGTATTTTGTATGTCCTCTTGTTTATGAAATTGAAAGGGTTACCTCAGAATAAATCTTGTCAATCACTAGAGCTGCTGTGCTGCTCCTAGTGTTTGCTTTGAGTGAGACAGAGACTTGACACTATTTTAAAAAGATAGTAGAGAGGTTTTGAGACTCTGTTTTCTGAATAAATACTTTTTGTGTGTGTACATACTCTTGTAAAAGTAAATGGGAGCTTTCATTGTCTGAGACAGTCTTCTTTGTGATCTTGAGTCGTGCCTTTTTTGTGTGTGTGTGTGGAGGGGCAAGATTTAGAAGTTGAACAGAGAACAGTACTCTTAACGCCATAGTGTTCTTTTCATCCTCTATAGTCCATCCAGCTAAAGTACAGTTTTAAACAAGAATATGGGTAGATTATATTTAATAATTGTCCACAGGAGCAATACCTTTTTTTTTTTCAAGAGATTTATTTACTTATGCATACAAGAACTGGGGTATAGACCAGAGGTGTGAGGAATGAGAGGATACACCAGAGACAGAGCAGGGAACAGAACAGGCAGATTGACTGAAATCCACTGAAATCCCTGCTGTGGGGGAGCAGAGACCAAGACAGGAGAAATCCACCTTACCATGTAGGTCAGCTCCCTGGCTGGGGATGGAACTCGTGCTGCAGTGGCTACGGATAACTTCATAGGGTATGTTTAACTCCATGCATCACCAGGGATCAATACCTTTAATCTTATTTTTATTATGTTATGCATTCATATAGTTCAAAATTTGAGAGGTGCAAAATTACTGCAGTATACTCTTCTCCCCATCCATGCCAGTTTCTCTTTTTGGAGTAAACTAGTGTTAACTAGTTTTTTTGTATGTATTCCTAAGGGAGAATAGTCTATGTATAATTGAATAAAAACATGTACATACATATTCTGTTTTTCACTTATTTTGGAAATAAGGATTTCCATATTTGAAACAATAAAGAAGGGCAATACTTGGACCCTCCCTGGTGGCACAAGGGGTTAAAGCACCACACTATGAAGCTATGGATCCCTGTCTACGGAGGTGACCCATATGGTGCAGCAGACCTCTCTTGTCTTGCCAGCTGCTTCCCTCAGCAATGTATTTTAGTTGATCTGCTTGTTCTGCTCCCCACTCTGTCTCTGGTGTATCCTCTCACACTTTGCATCTTTTGTCTGTACCCCAGCTATTATATGCATAAATAAAATATTTTTTTTTAAAACTAAGGGTGGGGCCCTCCCTGGTGGCGCAGCGGGTTAAAGCACAGCACTAAGAAGCTAAAGCCACTTCCACATGAGTTCGATCCCCGCCTGCCCCAGAGGTGACCACATGGCAAACCCACACATAGCATAGTAGACCTTTGCCTTTCCACTGCTCCCCTCAGCAGTATATTTCAGACCTCTCCTGACCCGCCTGCTGCTCCCCTCAGCAGTGTACTTCGTCAATCTGCCTGTTCTGCTCCCCACTCTGTCTCTGGTGAAGCCTCTCACCACCCCTGAGCTTCTGGTCTGTACCCCATTTCTGTATGCAGAAATAAAATCTTTTAAAAAAATAAGGGCATTACTTTAGCATGAATCTATACTTCTGTAAAGGATATTACTAGATCAACTGACAAAATTGGCATATGAATGGTAGATTAGTAGTGTTTCCATATAAATTTGTGATGCTAGTAACATAACCTTGTTTATGTAAAAGACTATTCCTTTTATGATATTTGTATTATTCCACTAAATGGTCAGGGGGGAATCAAATATATACATACATAATATGTTATTAGAGAGATTACAAAATGATAGATAACATGTTTTAGATAGGTAAACAGAGTATACATGCATGGCTAGTATAGTTTTAATTTTTGAAATTACAAGATGTCTCCCTGATGGCCTAGATGCACCACTACAGCCTGAGTTTGATCCTGGCCAGGGAGCAAACCCACACATAGCATAGTAGACCTTTGCCTTTCCACTGCTCCCCTCAGCAGTATATTTCAGTCAGTCCACCTGTTCTGTTCCTCACTCTGCCTCTGGTGAATCCTCTTACCCCCTGGACCACTGGCCTGCACCCCAGTTCTTCAGTGCATAAATAATCTTTATAAAAAAAAAGGGCAAAAATTACTTATAAATAGAAAGCTTTCTGAATTGTCACACCTCCTCCCAACACTGGTTAGGATTCATTTTTGTTGATATACCTTTCTGTATTTAAGTAGTTCCTCATTGGTGTAAATATAAGTTATTGTCTAAGCTTTTGCTATTACAAGTGGTTCTTTGGTGAATATCTTAATAGGTTGTTTTTGCATGAGTGAGAATTTATCTTGTAGGATGAGGGGTTACTGGGTCAAGGTGTAATGCTTTAAATTTTGATATATATAGTAGTTGCACCTTAAAATAAATTGATGACTGATTACCATTAAACCTTGTAGATAGGTAGTTTCATGGTTTCTGCTATTCTAAACAAATATATTACTTTTTTTCTACAGTGTGCACATGAAGATTGAAGAAAAGATCACACTAACCTGTGGACGAGATGGTGGATTACAGAATATGGAGTTACATGGCATGATCATGCTTAGGATCTCAGATGATAAATTTGGCCGAATTCGTCTTCATGTGGAAAATGAAGATAAGAAAGGAGTGCAGCTACAGGTGTGTAAAGGTTTTTGATAAGGGAGTAAGATTTGGTTTGTCTTTCTCAACAGAAATACCTCACATGAACCACAGAACACAAAATTATTTAGGTTATGTAATGAATGACATTCCAGATACATAGGAAAGAAATTAACTGGCTATGTGTAGTTGATGACTCGAGGCAACAAATTTCTTCCCAAGCTGGTTGAGTGTGATTGACAGCAGCTGTATTAAAAGTGTCTTTTTTTTTTTCCCCCCAAGATGTTTTATTTATTTATGCATACAAAAACTGGGGTACAGGCCAGAGATGCAGCGGCTAAGAGAATTCACCAGAGACAGAGTGGGGAGCAGAATAGGCAGATGGACTAAAATGCACTACTGAGGATTGCAGCAAACAGGTCAAAAGAGGTCTGCTGCGTCATATGGGACACCTCCCTGGCAGGGGATTGAACTCACACTGCATGGCTGTGGATAGCTTCATAATGTTGTGCTCTAATCCCTTGCACCAGTAGGATGCCCCAAAAGGGTCTTTTAATATTGGAATTGAGCTAAAGGTCATTGCAGAGGCTAAGGAATGACATCACACTCCAACAATGATGCATTAAACATCATAGGGAGGCCCCTTTCCTCCCTCGTGGTGCAATGTGTTAAATTGCAGCACTGCAAGCTGGCTGCAGCTGCTCCAGTGAGGGTTCTGTCCCCCACCCCATACGTGATCCACATCGTGCAGCAGACCTCTCCTGTCTCGCCTGCAGTTCCCTTCAGCATTGTACTTCTTCGATCTGCCTGTTCTGTTTCCTACTGTGTCGCTGGTGAATCCTCTCAACCGCCCCTGCACCTCTGGTCTGCACCCCAGTTCTATATGCATAAATAAATCTTTAAAAAAAAAA